CATTCACTAAGGTACCACACATACCAACACCAATATATGTATAAGGAGTAAAGTCAACTAAATGTTTGAAAATTTTGATATTAGGCCCCATATAACTAGAACAAGTTTTCACCCAATTTTATCCATTTTAAGCATATAAGATACATTATTATTAGTTAAATACGCTTTTTCAATTTCAATAAGATAACTCACATATTGACCGATATATGTGGTAAAAAGTCAGCCGGAAACTGGAAAACTTGTCTATTAGGTATATGGGGACTAAGGGAATTATTGATTCGATTCAATCTATTTTCGACATACAGGCATACTATTATCAGGTGATAAAATTTTATGCCTCTGACGCATTTATTTACAAGGTGCGTTCCAAAGTAAACAAAATAGTCTCCTTCTGCTTTAATACAGCTTTTTGCACGGTCAAAAGCATGTCGAACGAGTGTTTTAGCTTGTTGTCCGGTATGGCCGCCAGTATGCCGGTGCAAGCCTTTTGAATGGCCTCCACGTCTGCATAACGCTTTCCTTTCATCGGCAAATGAATTTTTCGAAGCTCATTTTCGCACCGATGACAAAAACATACCGACACGTAAAAGGCAATAACTTCACTTCCAATAGATGAAATGTCATGAAATTTTTACTGGAAGTTGATAAAGGATAGCAGATTCTAACGCAGTAGTCGATATATAGATGGCGCTACTAGAGTTTACTTTGTTACTTTTTTACTGTTTACTTTGGAACGCACCTTGTACTACTGTACTTTTAGTAGTTTCTAACAAACTAAGTGAGCGGTGTTATCATCCGATTTGAGCTATTTTCGCACTATCGTAAGAAGGGTTGAAAAATGTGTGCAAATTTAGACGACATAGCTTTATTGGTTTGGAAGATATATATATAATAAACTTATTAGGGGCGTGGTCACGCCTTGTTTTTAAAAGCTTTCAAACCGCAGGTGAGCCTTCTTAATGTGATTCGTTGTGCCACATTCGAGTTCTTTATCCTCATTTACGGCTTGGTTATGGCACTTTATACATTTTCGAATAATGGCGTTTTGTAGGCGTGGCAGTGGTATGATTACGCGCATCTTCGTCACTCTTTCAACTCGTTCTCACTTTTCTACCGATGAACACTTGTGGTTATACACAAGTTATCGCTTGCATAGACGGACGTATAGACAGACAGTCATTCGGATTTCAACTCGTCATCATCCTGATCATTTATATAGATATATATATATATATATATATATATATAGGGGGTATATATTACTCTATATCTGTAGCAACATGTTGCAAGACTGCAGTTAGATACATTAGAAAGATTGTGGTCACGTCCCTGATCTGCAATGTGACATAGCACAGCATAACGGAGACAGCTCAACAAGCTCAAAGAAGTCAGCAGTTAAAAAAAGTTGTTGGCAAATAAATGAGAAAACGTTAAGTGGAGCAATAAAAACGCTGCAGCTGAATGCAACCAACGGGAGAGAGAGGGCGGACGGATTTCGGAGCATACAATGTCAGCTTGACTATTAAGCGCCGCTTCGAGGTAGTTAAAATGCTGCGAGGCAATGACAAATGCGTGTGACACTACGTGGAAATTGCGGATGCACGAATGGTGGCCGTGCGAGTGGAGGGCATGAGGCGAAAACAATGCTGTAGGTTGAAAGCGAGATAAAGGAAGAGCATGTGTTGACTGCAATGTCACTTAAGAAATGGAATGCTTGCTGCACTCAAAAGGCAACAGTGCATTTGACCATTGTTGTTGCACAATGGCAGTGACAACTTAAGTGCAACTGGCAATGCTTTCAAATGTTTGTTTGTTAATTGCAGTTGTTGTAATTTGTTTCTATTTTCCATTTGCCATCTATCGTGGCATATAATACCGCCTGTGAGTAGATGACCTGAGCGCTGACCTCAAGTTTTTTGTCTGTGTTCTGTGAATTTTTCAGCAGGTTTTTCTAGCTTTGTGCTTATGAACTTAAAATGCTTTGGTGATGGTAACATAACGACACCAAGGTGTGGTTTTCATATACCCTTAATGACTTTATCAGCTGAATGGTTGGGAACTGACGAACTTATATCAGTCTGAAGTGGCGATGTTCCACAATTAGTGGTCGCACTACAAATACTCAAGAACTAAAAGAGAAGCATTTATTAGCTAACCAAGCGCTCACTTCATACCGGTACACCTGGTATGTGCATGTAACAAGCATGTCTAAATATATCAGAAAGTTATATTCCATAAGAACAAGAATTCTATTAAGTCAACATTTTGTTGCTCTCTCCGATCTCGGTTGCAGTTGTGCTAACAGAAAGTAGGCGGTATAAGTAACGAAAAAGCTGCATCTGTAGTTGAAGTGGTGATCGTTACAAAGCAATGATGATAGCAAATAGTTTGTTTGAATTTTAGCACCAATACATTCACAGGTATTCACAAGGTGTAATATTGTGTCATATCGTCATATTGTCTTATTTTTTTATGATGTTGTTGTTTCCCTTGCAAAATTGAAATAAATGAATAATTGAAAATGACAAACACAACACGGCGAGGTATGTTTTTTGAGTGTGCTATTCTATCAGCGTATCTGTTTACTTTTTTATATTGTTTACGTTTAGCTGTCTAAAATTAATAAAATAAATAAATTTCATCAATTTCTTCAATAATATGGAAGGAAGCCACGATATTCAGGTAAATTAAGTTGAAGAAAAGTGAAATATAAAAATATTTTGTTGTTTCTATGGTTGCAATGTGAACCAAAATGCTGCCGTTTCAACATAAAGAAGCTTTAATTTTATTTTAGTCACTTTCTCGTGGCATTTTTGTGTTCTTAATTTTTCACTACCAGCTGGTGAAGTGTAGAAATATTACATTTTATGACATACAACAATTAAGGGGTGCTCACAAGTGTCGTATTTTTTAAGACTATTGAAATACGGCATAAGGCATTAGACGAAGCTTGTGAATATATACATGTATATATACATCTTCGAATACTTATTTTCCATAGGTTAACTAACAATAAATATAAAATATCTGAGGAAGTTAGAAGCAGCCAATCGCTAACAAGGGTAGTACGTTATAGATATATTCTGAATTTTCGTTGCTGGGAGTACGCAGGGTATATCGACAAAGTGCACCATTTGTGTGCAATTTTGTATAGTCAAAGCTTTTCATTGGCAAAAGGTACTAAAGCAAATATTTTACTTTTTACGCTTCGTTTAACGTCCGTTAGCTCTTCATACCAGCTTTCAGCTGCCATGCGGCTAGTTTCGCCCATTTTACCGCAGTCTTCCTTTCCTTCTGCCATGCTATGTTCACCTTGTACCGCGCTCTTCTGCCACCGCCACGCAGCCAAATACTTGCAATGGTAAATGCTCCACGCCAAATTTCATATTTCTGCACACATCTAAATCCCACACTTACACGCATAGCTTTGGGCTGACAAGTTACTGGTGGCTTTAGCTTTCAAAGATTTATGAATGAAGACGGCAGTTGGATTTTTCATTCGCCACTACCGGCCACTTGTGCCATTTTTGTCACACATACGCACGTGTAAGTGTTCTTGTGTGTGTGTGTGTGCTGAGTATCCGCGATACACACTTGTGCCCATTTGTTGAGTTGTGTGTGTATGCGTGTGTGTGTTTGCAGTCGTGCCAGTGAAATATTTGCACTCGCATGCCGTGAAAGCCGAAAAATGTGTACATGAACGGACGTGTACATTCGAGCAAGGTAGCAAACTGTAGTAGTTGTAGTTGTGGTTGTTGTTGCTGCTGCTGTTGTTGTAGTGTGCGCAAATTATGAGAAATGTACTGAAATCTACGACGCAGATTTATTTAATGTTTCATCCTTCCTTTAAGCCTCGCTCTCGGTCGTGAGCTCGCACGCTAATGCTGTTGCCAAGAGTGTGGTGAACGCTTGGCGGGAGGGAAGTGAAACAGCGAGAAATATATATAGGTATATATATTTTTACAACACTAACCGCTACTGATTATTGCCACTTGGAGTATACTTTTGCAACTTTTGTAACAGCATCTGTGTGGCATATATACGTGCCGCATGTACTCATACATAAGCGTATTTATATATACATACATATGTACAATACATACACATATACATACATACATACGTTCGGGTATTGCCATTCGCTTGTTTATGAGCATGAACGCCGATTTTTACCACAAATGCGAATGATTAAGTTTAATGAGCGCTCACATTGCGTCTGTGCTGTTGTTGGAGAGTATCTGCAGAAAATTTATATGAACTTAATGGCTATATAGAAGAAATAGTACATGAATACTCAGCAAAATGTGTTTTTAAATTAACTTAACTTACTTCGTGACTGCGGCCAAAATACTTATTCCGGTAAACTGTTTTTGATACTGAAAAAATTAACATATCCGCTCGGAGAGAAAATTCGAAATTTCTTTGTTTCACTAAAAAGGGGTTGGGCGCTGATTTTGCGTTAATCGAAATGAGTTTGCTCCTTATGATTATTTAATAATAAATCTCTTTTTACAGAGTTGAAGCTCTTAACTGAAAATATACAGTTATCTGAAATATATATATATAAAAATAACTCCTCAAATAAAAAAGTTTTCCATACAAGCACTTGATTCCGATCGCTCAGTTTCTTTATGCTAAAGTGTCCGGATATCGGCCGTTCCGAAAAATGAGCAGCTTCTTGGTGAGAAAAGGTCGGTGGCAAAATTTTAGATCGATATCTCAAAAACTGAGCAACTAGTTCGTATTTATACGGACAAGGCTAAACCGACCTAGCTCGTCACGCTGATCATTTATATATATACCTATACATTTATAGGGTCCCTGACGTTTGCTTTTGGTGTTACAAACTTTGTAGCAAACTGCATGTACCCTGTTCAGGGTATAAATATTCTGCGTACATACATAGTGTCTCGTTAGCATGAAGGACACGATCCACCAAATGTCAGTCAAATGTTCGCGCTTTTCGCTGATGTTGTCCAAGTCTAGTTACAATGAAATTGAGAGTGTGCTTTAGCTTTTATTTACACAAATCTTTAGTTATAAGTACTACACATATATATAAATAAGGCAATCCATATTGAAAAACCGAAAACAAATTTACGTTTACAGTCTTATTCTAAAAACGAAGTAAACGACCATTCCTATTCGCGCGCCGCTGTTGTGGTGACGCTGCAAATAAGATCTGACGCAAATTGCCACCATCTGCGGGTACGAAAATCAAACGTCCGCTCTGCAATTCACTAAGTCCACTGAGCAATTCAATTTGTTCTGCCGACAATTCCGCATCTTCGGCGGCAGCCGCTGGCTCCAACTCGTTCAACTCCACACCAAAGTCTTCCTCCTCAAACTCGTGTGGCACGACCGCAACAACGCCAGGAGCGCCATATGTCTCCGCCGGCAAGCGTGATTCCGCTTCATCCACGCCGGTTGGTGGACCGTAAGTTGCGGCTGGTATTGGTTGTGGCGCTGCAGCAGCATCCAATTCACTAATTACATCAATGGGAGCTGCGCCAGCGTTGTCGTCATTGCTCGACGCCACAGTAGGCGTGAAGCGCGCCTCTTCCACTGCCGGAAAATCAGCAACAGGCTGAGCGGTAGTATCAGCGTCAACATTAGTGGCAGCACTGCCAGCAACAACGGCCACTTCTGCGTCGAATGTGGGATTGCTGGCGGCAAATTCTTCGGCATCTTTATTGGGTGGTTGAAAGTGCTCTGCGGGTTCAACGACGGTGTCGGCATCGTCCTCAGGTGGTCCATATTCGATTGCGGGCGTGTGCGTTTCTACCGCTGCCGCTGCGCTTTCTTGCTTAAAATCCACTTGCAACTCAACTTCGTTTTCAGCGTCGCTCTTCGGTGTTGCGGTTGTGGTTGCGAATTTTTCGTCATTCACCGCTTCGCCTGCATCTTCGACAATCAGCTCAATATCAATAGGTACATCATCCGAGCCAGCGGCGTCTTCGGTTTGCGCGGTTGTAACTTCATCAGCTGGCGCTGACGTGCTGCTCACTGTTGGCAACTCTGTCGTTTTGCGTTCATTTGGCAACTCAAAGGCTATGTGTGGCCGAAAGCCGGCTGCCGGGTAACCGGTTCTAGCTTGCACTGGCTGTGCGGTGGTTGCCAGCAGCTGCCGCGCTGAATGCACTCGCTGCCGCTGGTGAGTGCTCGTACGCTTAAGTGGAGTTGCCGCAACAACCGCAATTGCCACTGCGAGCAAAAAGAAAGTAGTGTAGCGCATTTTATGTGTTACGTGCCTGTTGTGGTACGTGGATAGATTACTTTTTTGGTGCTGCCTTTTTGGGGTGGTGCTCCCAATATGGCTGCGATCGTGCTACTGCTACTACCGGCACCCAACCTAAGCTTTTATAGTACGCTATAAAAAACTCGAACTTATTTGTTTATTTCCATTGTTGCGTTGCTCTGAAATTATGCGCGCAAAAACAAGTACAACCTCAGAATAATATTTACTTGTATTTATTCACTTTTTTTGTTTAAATTTTTCATCGCTGCTTCCGAAATTTATATTCCTTTATGGGTTTATAGTCGCACACTTCGTTCCGAATCTCGAATTTCGAATTCTTTTTGCGCATTCAGCTGACATTTCCGGTTGCAAGGTTGAAAAGTCAGCACAACAACAAAGTCCACATTGATAACTGGCGAAAAATATGTGTGCGCGGCCTTTGAAGTGACTATTGATTCAATAACTAAAATAATGCAAAGAGTGCAAAACGATAAACGACGTTGAATTCAATGTTAATTTCGCCTATAAGCACACATACATATATATTTACAAAAACTGCTAAACATACATGTACATACAAAATAGCGCACGAATTTCATATTGTCATTACTACTTTTACAATTTTTTTGCAGCCAAATTAATCGTGTTATTTTTGCATTTTGTTGACGAAGTTGCTGCGGCTGCTGAGCCGCGATGACGCAGCCGAAATGCCAATCACGTACAAGCGGCGCATCGCAAATTTATTGCCTCTTTTGGCGTCGAATTTTTTAATTAATCCATTTTTTGCATGTGTGTTCGCTTTGCCGTCACTTCTGAGCGCCTTTTCGCTGCGTAATTCTATGCGCTTTTTAACGCTTTTTCTTTTTACTCTTTTGTCGTTATTTTGCTGCTTTTTTTGAAATTGTTTTTAAAAACGGTTCAGCACGCGATTTCGTTTTTCAAATTTAAATCTATTTTTTCAGCATTTCGCTTGCTTGTTGTTGCCAGCATGATTGATGTTGTGGTTGTTGTTGTTGTGTCGCTGGTACAGCTGTTGCCCTCATGACAAATTATGATTGTAATCTCATTATATGCAGCAGCTGCTGCAGCGCGCAGCCAGTGCAGTCGCTAGCAGCAATAACAACAACAAAGTGCGCATTTATCGTTGCAAGCCACAACGCCGTTGCTGGCAGACTGTTTGTTCCGCTATAAACTTTCAGTTCGCCGTTACTCGGCTTAACAAACTTCTACTACAAGAGTGAGCAACATTTTTGCAATTTAGTTGGTGAGCGGAAACTTGGTGAGTGGGCATGGAAGTCGTAGTCGATAGCGCTCGGTTAGTGCGTATATTGCACTCGGTGGTACCTTTAAAATCCAGCAGCGTGTTAGAAATCGGCTTAAAGTATCATTAAGTGCAATAGCTCCTCAGTGTAATACATACAGGTTGGTTGAAAAGTTTCTGCGCTCGAAATTAAAAAAATACAGGTACGAAATATATTTTTTATTCAATATAATCTCGTAGTGCTATTTTTTGGTGAGAGCCAGCAACTTTTCAACCAACCTGTATATTATATGTTCGATTTTTTTTCTATATTTTAAATTTTAAATATGTCAGTTATTTATTTTATATAACTGCATGAAATGCCTCTATCTAAATTAGCAAAACCAAATAATACACATACATAGAAGTCATGATTCACAAATTTCCGCTTATATTACATAATGTTATTCATTTTCGCGTTCGTGTTAAATTATGCATGCATACGCACATATTTACTTCGCGCCATTGCAATTTATTTCACAAATTGTTTACAAATAAATCTATGTTCGTAGCCATGCCCTGCCATGCTATGCGACACACTCGCTGCTGTGGCAGCACGTGCTTACAAATACCTTTACGTACCTGTGGCAAGTGAACGCACCGCAAAAATTGATTACAAATCACGCACAAAAATACAAATCGATTTGTAAAGCAGCGTACCAATATTCCAAATATTCCAACTTCTGTAAATAACTGATTTTATAGTCAAACTTACACATTTATGGCAATCGCTATGGCTGTTGTTGTAATCACCGCAAAGTCACACGCGCAAACACACAAATGCATGCATTAATTAGTTTGTAGTTATGTATGTATATGTACCTATATGTTTGTACAGTTGGGTTCATTTAAATTTGCATTTTGGAGAGCAGGGGTTGCCAACAGCCAACTGAGGTGTTCAAATGTTGGGTTGTGGGTTTCTAATTTTGTTTGGCCTGCGTTGTGAAGCGCTGGCTTTATCGTTTTGTGTATGCAAAGCGAAATGTCATGCCATTAGGTTGTTTAGCGCCTAGCCTGTTGTTTTAAAGTGGTCAAACTCGACTATTTGCATTGTGCGTGGCTGCTGTTGTTGTTTAGTTTTTGTCATAGTTGTGCCACGCATGCGGTCTCTGCTTATTTGGAGATTTTATAGCGCGCATTTTTGTTATTACTTCATGCCAATATTAATGCCTAACAATAATGAAAAATTACGAGTTATTTTAATTTAATAATAGCGCCTAGCTAATTACGGTTGGCCAAGGATAAGTGCGCTTTCGCGTTATCCAATGTCTGCACTATCGAAATAAATTAAATAAATAGCAAATTTCATTTGAAAACTCCAACTTTACTGTTTGCTAGTGTGCAAAAATGCTGCATGGTAACTTTTGTCAAATTTCGAGCAATTTTCTTCCGAAATTCTTGCTAACAGTTATGCTTTCGCAATTAATTTTTTCGCTCGTTTGAGTCCTTTTTTTTTGGGCAACCGCAAACTAGCCGCATTTGTTGGACCAACAAATAACGAGTTCGCAAAGCGCTCGTAAACTTGTTTGTGAAGCCACTTCACTTCCCCGCTCACGACATGTGCGTAAATGTGGCCATTTGTTTGTATGTATTGGAATGTTGGCCTTGTTGTTGTATGTGTTCGAGTGTGTTATTAATGAATTGGCTATTTTTGTATGTGCGCGCCATTCCATGAACCAAGTCACCAAATGGCCATTGTAGTTGAACGAGCAGCAGCAACAAATACAACAACAACAACAATTGAGCATACTTCGGTTTCGTATTCATCAGCTACTGCCGCTGACTAATGAACTTCCGCTCAATGTGCTTTGCGTGTTCGTTTTTTCTTCCTTGCCTTTGTTCTTATTCGCCGTTTGCTCTTCACATGTCTTCTTCACTATTATTTTGATATTTGCAATTTTTTCCTACTTGTACACTCCTGCTCGATATTCAATAGTGTTGCCGTACAATTTGTCATTTCGGCAAGTAACTCGTACGAATGCACATATATACATACATACATAGTCTGTGCATATGTTTGTTTTTTTTTGTTGCGCTGGTCTTTTCGTATTCAGTGCGTTGTTTTTTTGTTATTAATTTTTTATCAATTATTTTGCGTTTTTTTGTGTTAGATTCGCCTTTGTTATTCTAAGCACTCCACTCTCGAGTTCATTTCGATTCATTAACCAAAATGCTGATACGAATTTCAAGCTATTATTTGTGCGACGCATATATCATTGGTAATGATAGCATTATAATCCATACCCCCCAAGCACATTTTTGAAATCGTTGGATTTACAGTGACAGCCTTGTGTAGATATATGCTAACGCTGCCATTTACTCTTTAAGCTTTCTTGGCATTAAAGCTGCCACACAATTACTTACCTCCACTTTATGTTGCACATTTCAAGGGTTCAAAGCACGTTTTAGTGCGTCTACCGTTACTCACTCGACACCGAAGGCGAATGACGCGCGCTCTTGAAGGTCTTTCTGGCTACCACTACGCTCGCTGCATTTCTGGAAATGTGCTCGTAAGTTGAACTCGAAAGTAGACATTCCTGCGCACGCACAAGAACACACACAACCATTTACCCTACAAGAACAGTGACAGTCATCTGACTGGTAATATGATAGTCATAGCTGAAACAAGTTTGTCAGCGCGCAGAACAAAGTTGCGATCATTTGCTTAAGAGCCCTGTGCAAAAACTGATGTAAACAAACGCATGTGTGCGAGTTTTGCATCTCTTTAACGCATGAGTATTCGGAATTGATTCACTATATACCTATACTGCTCACTCTCATATCTTTTTCAGAGTCATTGCTGACCATAAATCCATCATAGCTGAAAATTGTCAGTTATGACTGTAAATCTATCACAAGTGAAAAATTCTTTTGCGCAGTAGTTAATATACTTTTTATTTCTTTAATAAATTCAAAACTTTTAATTAGTTATAATAATTTACTAGTACATAAATATAAAAAAGGAGTGCAACAAAAATATAATTAAAAAATAAATTATGAAAAGAAATTTTCACTTAATTCCATGCTTGCTTCTCTCAAAAGCTCTGCTGTACGTGTTTCTTTTGTTCATGAATATTTCAGAATATAAAAATGCCTAAATAAAATGAAAATTAACTAAAAATATAATTTTATTTAAAACTTAAAAAAAACTTATTATATTTGAAAACTCCTTCGTTGACAGTAATTTTTCTGTTCATTTGAATGTCAGTACTGACATAATAAATGTGAGTTTATTGCTGAACCCTTTCGCAGTTTCTTGTAGGGTAAGTGCAATAACAATATGGTACATATACACACATTTGCCGACTTTGAATGTGTGCAATAAAATCTGTCACCACTGCCTACAACACTCTCACATTGTGCACGCAACCAGGGAAGCTGAATACGTATGAGCCAGGAGATAGGCTATAGAGAAGGTAGAAAAATGCAGAAGCTAAGTGCAAAGCGCTAGGTAAAGATAGCGTCTGCACTCAAGCCACGTTGACCGCCAACGAAGATGTGTGTGGCGGAAAAAGAAAATATTATGAGAGGAAGTTATTAAAAATAGTGAAAGAAAAGAGTGAAAATCTGCATTAAAAACGTGTGCAGCAATGATAATCACTTCTCTGTGTATGTGTGTGTGTGTGTGCAGTTTTACACCTGCATAAGTCTACGCTGCGTCTAAGTGCACGAATATATAGTAAAGTAAAGTATGCAAATACATACTTTGAAAAATATGCAGTTGAAGTGGCTGCCTGATGGCATTGACTTCAGAAATTCCATTAAAGTGCGTTCAAGTTGTTTGCTATTCGTTATATGCATAACTTAATATGCGTTGTCCATAGCATAACACGCTAACAAATGCGTAAGGCATAACTATCGTTTGAAACTGCATTCAAATAATCATAGTTTTAAATGTGATTAGAGTCTTTTAGTAAGTTTTCTTTAGAAAAAGCGGCAAACTAGTAATGTTATCCACGAACTCGGTGGGTATATATGTATGTAAGTGGGTGCGCAAAGTTTTAAATACACCGTAAATTAGGTAAAATTGTGGTTCATGTGTATAAAAAAAAGTTGTGCGCAGGTTAACAGTCCTCACATTAATATCTAGAATTACGAAAAATAACTGGAGATTTGTAAAAAAAAAATTACATTTTAAGCTGAATAGCTTAAGTTTTGATGAGTTATTTGAAATTTACCACGTGCATGCGTCTGGCGAGTGACAGTTTA